ACCCTAATTCAGCTCTTGTATCTCAAGGCCCTCCATAATGGCATGGGTAGAATCTCCTGATTGTGTTGTTGCCGTACAAATACTTGAAGGAATCCTTTAGGACTAAATTAAAATAGTTTTTAAGTTTATAGCTAAGACTCCAGCTGTTCTGGAATATGGAATTCAGAAGATATCTGATCTTACCATGGATGCAACAAATTAATATTGCTCCCTTTTACTCCACAACATTGAAAAGCTGGCATCTACAGATGTGTTTTTGAACATGTATGGCTACTTTTGAAAAACTAGGACTTTATATTTGAGATCTTGATACCTATTTCAGGTGGATATGTCCAAAACATTCAGGGTGCTTCATCAAGGCCTATTACAATTTATGATTAAACATTTGTGGTTTTTTTTTTTTCTAATGTAAAACGAGTATTTTGGGGGACTACTCACAAGACAAGACTTCAACCTACCAAACTAGGTCTCTCTCACCACCCTTTACAGCAAACGGAGGTTCAGGACCTTCAGAGGTGATGCAAACGTGATTACTTTCTCTGATGACTATAAGGGGACTTCAAGGAGTGTGGCCTTGCAAGATTTAAGTAAATCATTGTGAATACTTTATCACCAGTACATATGCAAATAAACTGGCTCAAATAAACTGGCTCCATTTCACTTGGCCAGATCTTGTTTATTTTAGTCCTGCTAATGAGAGTACTTGTTGTAACTGAATTCTTGATTATGGGTAAGGGGGGGGTGTATTCTTTGATTCACAACATGAATACTAACAGTATTAACTGTTTTAATACCTATGGCTCATTGCATCCTTTTATATATCCTTTTTAATATAATGTTTTTATAAATTTAGCCCCTATCTATTAGCCTCAGTACTTGAAGAGATTAGATGATCATTTAAGTAGTTCTGCCCAAATCTTCTTTATAATCAGCTCTCAGATAGGAGACACAGGCAACTATTAGGTAAACATTTGTAGCACTTCAGGAGTATAAACAAAGTGAGATTAAAAACCTTATCAGAATAACTATATTCCTTTGTTTAAGCTATCTCTTCAACTCAACAAAGTATGAAGGTTGTAGAATTACTGCTGCCTTTGTTAATACTGTTAACTGTTGGCATGTACCCACCAAAGACTCCACGGGAGACATATTCTTGAGTCCTTCAAGGTTGTGTAGCTAATGCAAACATATTAGTTTGCATCTGTATACCTTGGAGTGCAGAAGGATCTGTAATGCCTCTGAAGGTCATGACCCCTGCTGATATAAATGAACTCCATTAAAAAGAGTGGAGATATGGTGATTTGTTTGAGAATTTGCCCTTAGATATGCACTTAAATGAAAATCTGACAGGAAATATTTTCTGCACATGTGGTTTTTGAGTCATTCAACTAATGCTGTTTGCTAGCGTGTGAAATAGATAGCCCTGTATTATTGGCAATACTCAGCATTTATCTTCAGGCAATGCAGCGTTAATTACAAATACTTGTTTTCACTTAGTGGGGTATTAATAACAATGTGACTTAGTGCTTGTAAGATGTTTCATATGTTAAAAATGCATTGAAGGAGGAGCTGGGTATTGCTTGTAACATCTTCACAAGGGAGCCATATAGCCATTATTATATATATTTTACAGAATAAACCTGTAGCTGAGTGCAGGAAAACTGAGAGAAAGGAGTGAGCTCAACTGCATGATTTTTGAAGTCCAGAGCCTAGAATAATGTGCATAGTTTTCCTAGCCCTTTTCTTAATTCATTTGCCCTGTACAAGAATGAACTATTTCAGGATAGACTTGTCTGTTTTTAAGTACAGCAGTCATGAGAAGAATGTTACCTGACAAGCAGATGCAGCGTATTGCTAACACAGACATGCTAGGTATATTCCTGGAGAGTGGAACATAGTGTTGAGATGTTCAGATCATGTTTGGTTTCACTATCAAGTGATCTTGAACTGTTGCTGTCACATACATATTTGAGATGGAGGTCTGCAGAGGAATATAAAATCAAAGAAGTATTTCAGCATTCAAAGGTACTTGGGACCAATGGACAATACCTTACAGAAACTGGACATCACGGTGCAAGGCCACTGATGTTTAAGCCTACTCCCACAGTAGACTGTGTAGTCAGGTGTCCCCCTGCCTTTAACAGACTGTACACAATTTTGAAATACTTAAATCTTTATAAGAAGGATTTATCCAAATAGTAATATGGTTTTTCGAGTTTTAAATTTCTGTAAGGAAAAATGAGAGTCTGCAGTTATGAGGTTACCCACATTCTACACCTGTCCACATTCTAGAGCCTGAAGCTGCATTTTACAGGGTGTTTAGTTCTTGGGGAAAACACGAGGTGAAGAATAACTTCAGTTATAGTTAGGTTGCTTTCTAGATATTGACTATTGACAATTATGTTAAGAATTTGCAAATAAAATATTTTTTTTCCTTGTTCACTGTTCAATATTTTTATGCCTCTCGCTGAGCGAGGTTTGTGGTGGGTTGACCTTGGCTGGACGCCAGGTGTCACCAAGCCGCTCTATCACTCCCTTCCTCGGCAGGACAGGGGGGAGG